CTTAGATAAAGAATTAAAGAGAGGGCCTAAACTCTGCCTGTTGGGTACATCCATACCGGTTCTGGTCCATGCTCGTGACTCATCTTTGCAGTGTGCGCAAAGGCTTTTGCTTGGTTTTTAGGTGAGTTTGAGGCTGTGCTCTTTTAGGATGGGGTCTGGCAAGCCCCTGAAATACATTCAGAGCTAATTTTGTATTTTATGTTATATGAGCTGTTGTTCTCAAAACAGGGAAAATAAGATTTTCAGGGTTTATTTCAGATTGCAGCCAGAATTTGTAGCCTTTGGGCACCTTGCTGCAAGTTGGCCTTGGGATGTTAAAGGGTAATCATAGAATGGTTTGGGTGGGAAGGGACCTTCAAAGCTCATCTACTCCAACCCCTGCAATGAGCAGGGGCATCTTTAACTATACCAGGTTGCCCAGAACCACATCCAGCCCAGCCTTGAATGTCTCCAGGGATGGCGCATCCACAGCCTCTCGGGGCAATCTGTGCCAATGTTTTATTACCCTCACTGTAAAGGATTTCTTCCTCACATCCAGCCTGAATCTCCCTCTTTTAGTGTAAACCCATCACCCCTCATCCTATCACAACAAGCCCTGCTAAAAAGTCTCTCCCCATCTTTCTTATAGGCCCCTTTTAAGAACTGAAAGGCCACAATAAGGTCTCCTTGGAGTCTTCTCTTCTCCAGGCTGAACAAGCACAACTCTCTCAGCCTTGAGATGAGGGAAGTCTCAGAACCGAAGGGCTTTTCTCCAAAGCAGGAGATAGACTCTCGATGGATGTTCACCAGGCCTGGAAGGGGGATTTAGGTCACCTTCCTGAGGCTTCCCCCTCATCCCTACAGTCAATATTGATGCAGACCTCAAGCAGGGCACCTGCCTCCTCATTCCCACTCATCCCCAGTGTGCCTGGCACTCAGATGTGGGGATCCAGGCTGTGAAGGTGCTTGCACACTGCCTACACTGTGGCTCAGGGTAGCTAGTACTTTTCCAAGCAATTGGGCTGGGTTTAGGAGCTGGCACATTCCAAGGGCAGTTCCCAACGGGCTGTTTTCCCTCATTTATCATGGTGGAGATGAGAGGTTTAGGAATTAGTACTTTTGTGCTATTTAACCATGGAAAGTTGAGTTTCTGGGCCTTGACACAACCAGCACAGAACAGGCTGTGCCTATTCTAGTAACACTTCTGCAGTTTAGGTGTTGACTGGCTATCAAAACCAGGCACTAAGATCAGCTGCTGCACCAGACACAGCCGTAGTAAATGGTCTGAGTTTCTCTCCTCCTTCCATTGCTCTTCATAGCAGATAGCCCATGGCAAGGGGTTGCAACTAGATGATGTTTACCGTGAGATGTGAAATGCATATGTGCCTGAAAGGGGTTTAGAATAGAATCCCACACTGTTTTGTCTTGGAAGGGAGCTTAAAACTCAACCAGTTCCAACCCCCTGCCACGATCAGGGACACCTTCCACTAGAGGAGAATGCTCCAAGCCCCTGTGTCCAGCCCAGCCTTGAACACTGCCAGGGATGGGGCAGCCACAGCAGCATGGGTCCACCTATGAATGGCTGTTAGTCTGTGCTTTGCCTGCAAAGCCAGGCTCATCCTGGCAGGCACAAAGTAGTCAAGGGTCCTGTTGCCCAGTGCAGTGGACCTGAGTAGTCACAGGATTCTTGTATCTGCAGTAAGAGCAGCAAAGCAGGGATGGAGAGGAGCAGAGGAATTTGTGCTCAGTTTTAACAGTCCAATGAGACTGGTTATTGCATCAACAGCCCAGATCCATTGCATGATGGGAGTCCCCACTCACTGATTTTGAGGAGAGGTTGTGATTCTTACCTTTGAGATTTCTACCTCTGCTACAAATACACTAGAGAATAGCTAACGGGTTCCGAAGTTGCTAGGAAGGAATCTGAGTGACAGACAGACATGGGCAAAGAGAATTAGTGCATGATTTTGTTGCCTTTTGGAAAGCAGTTGGAAATAGTCTGATTTGTGGATGTGGAGCCTAGGAAGAAGCCTCTTACCTTCTGCATAACTTAGAATGAACTTTGATTTAGTCAGTGAGGTATTCAAAGCTTTAATTCAGTCCTTTAAAGATGTCTCCTCTTCCTTTGTCTCATCTCTTCATGCAGGAGGGGTGTTTTAACAATGGGCTGCAGAGGCAAGTGGGAGACACTCACTTAACAGGAAAGAAGGGGACACAAATGAGCCCAGTCACGTATTGCTTGTTCAGTACAACAGTTTCATGAAGGATAAAGGATAGCATCCTTCAAACTGGCAGTATCCCTGGGATTTGACAGTGTTATCCAAGGCCAAGAAAGGCTGGATAGTAAAAGAAGGGGGAGAAATGAAGAAATACAGAGACAATAAGAAGTAGATGTAGGTAGAGTCAGTATGAAGGAAGAACGGAGAGTTGAAAACGGGATTTGGCTCATAGACTGGGATACCTGCATTTAGGGATGTATGTGTGAATGTCTTCACATGTGCTAGATGTTTGCATTATCATCAATGGGCATTCAGCTCATCCTAAAGCAGTCACCCATCTCTGCCATACAGAAAGGCTCTCCAGGCCCCACTGACCCCACATTGACAACCACAAGGACACAGACACCCTGCAGATGTGATGAGACCTTAATGTAAGTGTCTTAGGAGGAGAAGCACACCCAGGAGACTGTTGCAAGCAGCAGTTATTTTGGAAGGGAAAGGTCTTTAACATCTATGTGAATGGGTAATGCAGTACTGGGTGGGCACGGAGCTGCCCTCATCCTGCACATGAAGGGATCAGTTATTACTGGTCCTTGAGGACAACAGATGAACTTCTGCAGCCTCCCCATCTAAGCGGGTGCTCTGATGATGAATGAAGGGTGTGTGTCCATGTGAAGCTTTCCTGAGCCCCTGGACTCAGTCCAGCTGCTTATCTTCTTATAAGTAAAAGCTGAATATCTCCATGAGCCTTTGTCCAATTTGGTAGAAGTTGATTAAGATGTTCAAAGCTATTATGGGAAGGGATTGACTGGCAGTACCCTCACACAGAGGTCATTTCCCTCAGAAACCAGGCTGAGGATGAGCAGCACAACCCAAAGGGGTTGATGGAATGGGGCAGGAGGGACAAGGGTCTGCAACTTCAAGGTCCCATTGCTTCACAGGTCCCAAAATTAAGAGAAGGGCTTTGATTTTCAATGAGAATTCAGCCCTTTGAGGAGGGCTTGGTTCACCACTGTTAGGGTAGACACTGGGTTGCATTGGAGTCTTCAAGGATCTCAACACTGCCTGGGGACCATGCCTGAGCACAACCTGTTTAAGGTAGCAGCACCCTTGGGCTTTCTCCATCCCCATTCTAGGGTGAATGGCAATCCTTAGAGAGAAAATGGAATGGTTTGCTTCAGAACTGGTAAGGAGTTGGTGGCTGTGGGGAAGAACTACAAAATGCAGGAGAACGGGTCTGTGAATGGGAACCAGAATGTGTCCAGGTGCTAAAAGCCTTTGAGATGTCTTTGGGTAAAGTTGCAGCTGTGTCCAAAAGAAATGAAAGATGATGTTACTTTTTTTCATTAGCTCAATAATAAAGAGAAGCCAGAGCTCAAACACCTGATAAACTGAATTTTCTGCTCTGCTGGAGTTTGCAGCTAAGACAGTTTTATCTTAAACCGTTCCTTCATGCGGTTAACAAAACTATTGTGCGTAATATAGGCAGAATGATACCATTCACTATTTAAAGGCATGGGTAAGGGAATCTTGGCTCCTTACATTTCTGAGTCACCCAGCTCTCTTGCCTGCAGGGGAGGTTGATGAGAAATGTGTCCTGTGTTGAGTTGCAGAAGATGAATGTTGATATTCCTTCCAATTGTTCTCTTCCAACCTAATTGCAAGAGTCAGGCAGCGGTTGTAGGTAACTTCAGTGCAGAGGTGAAGCTGTAGAGACAAAAAAAGCATCTCAGTCACATCTGAGCCTGGATTTATAGAGGGCACTTGGCCATTGTCACACAACAAGCAGGTTGTCTGGTGCCCAGCACTGGCTGATTTAATAGACCCAATTTCACTTAAACTTCTAATGTGCCAATGGGTTTGGGATGCCAACCTTATGAAGTTTAACCATGCCAAGTGCAAGGTCCTACACCTGGGTGGGAGCAATCCCAGGCACAGCTACAGGTTGGGCAGAGAAGAGATTCAGAGCAGCCCAAGGAGAGGGACTTGGGGGTGTTGGTGGATGAGAAAATGAACATGAGCCGGCTTCAGTGTGTGCTCACAGCCCAGAAAGCAACCGTATCCTGGGCTGCATCAAAAGGAGCGTGACCAGCAGGGCGAAGGAGGTGATCCTGCCCCTCTGCTCTGCTCTCGTGAGACCTCACCTGGAGCACTGTGTGCAGTTCTGGGGTCCTCAACATAAAAAGGACATGGAACTGTTGGAACAAGTCCAGAGGAGGCCACGAGGATGAGCAGGGGCTGGAGCAGCTCCTGTATGGAGCCAGGCTGAGAAAGTTGGGGCTGTTGAGCCTGGAGAAGAGAAACTGCGTGGAGACCTCAGAGCAGCTTCCAGTGTGTGAAGGGGGCTACAAGGATGCTGGGGAGGGACTCTTCATTAGAGAGTGTAGTGATAGGACAAGGGGTAACGGGTTAAAACTGAAACAGGGGAAGTTTAAATTGGATCTAAGGAAGAAGTTCTTTACTGTGAGGGTGCTGAGGCACTGGAATGGGTTGCCCAGGGAGGTTGTGAATGCTCCATCCCTGGCAGTGTTGAAGGCCAGGTTGGACAGAGCCTTGGGTGCCATGGTTTAGTGTGAGGTGTCCCTGGCCATGGCAGGGGGTTGGAACTGGGTGATCTTAAGGTCCTTTCCAACCCAAACCATTCTATGAAGTAAAAAATGAGCTGTTGGGAGCCACTTTTTTTAAACCTGAGTGGATGGAGGCAAAAGCTCTTCCTTGTTCAACAATGGGGGATGCCATTCCCACATTCTACTACTCTCCTGTTGGCTTAACTCCTAAACCTCTTTCTCTTTTGATCCTCAGAAATGAGTTCAGACCCTGGGTAGACGTCAAGCCTGTGAAAGCTATAAAAGCAAAGCCCCAGTACAAGCCACCAGAGGAGAAAATGACCCATGAAACCAGTTACAGCGCTCAGTTCAAGGGGGAAACCAGTAAGCCTGCTCCAGCTGATAACAAATACCTGGAACGCCGAAGGATACGCACTCTCTACAGTGAGCCCTATAAAGAACCTCCTAAGGTGAGAGATATGATGGAAGGGACCCAGGGCCATCACTGCATCACTGTCCAATAGACTAAAGCTGGGGTGAATGCTGCCTGTTGTCACTCCCCTTGTGTGGTATCTTCATTTCCAACCAGTGGGTGCATCTGGGGATCCACCTGGGAGATGGTGGTGGATGGAAAACTGAATATGGGCCAGGATACAAGCACAGGCAGCCCAGAACCCCCCCTTGAGCAGCAGCTCAAGGAGGGCATCCTGCCCCTCTGCTGTGTGAAGGGGAGACCTTAGAGCAGCTCCAGTGCCTAAAGGGGCTGCAAGAAAGCTGGAGAGGGGCTTTGGACAAGGGCCTGTAGGGCCAGGCCAAGGGGAATGGCTTTAACCTGCCAGAGGGGAGACTGAGCTGAGCTCTTAAGGCAGAAGCTCTTTGCTGTGAGGGTGCTGAGGCGCTGGCACAGGGTGCCCAGAGAAGCTGTGGCTGCCCCATCCCTGGCAGTGTTCAAGGCCAGGTTGGACACAGGGGCTTGGAGCAAGCTGCTCCAGTGGAAGGGGTCCCTGCCCGTGGCAGGGGTTGGAGCTGGATGAGCTTTGAGGTCACTTCCAACCCAAACCAATCTGGGATTCTCTGGGCTCTAGTACAGGTTAATGCACGTTGAGGATGGCCATGCGCTGTGAGGGTAGGCTTCTGCATCGTCATTTCCCGTATGGTTATCTAGGTTATCTAGGTTACCTATTTCTCCCTCCAAGACTGTGGGCACCCCACGTTATGCTTTGCCCCAGGAACAACACGCTAAGAGCCAGATCTCCATCTGTAATTAATTCAGAGCCCTCCACAGATTTTGACAGTAAATGCTTTTAGCTTTGGTCAGATCGATGACAAAGGGCCTGAGCTGAAATATGTTCCAGCCTTATTTCCTAGGAACAGTGGAAGATCTGCATGCATATAAAAGGAGTCAGTCTGTTCTGGTTTACACCTAGGACAGTTAGTCCTTCCCTGAGTGCTTATGTTTGTGAGGTGTCAGAAGGATGCCAGGGTCAGCATGGAGGAGCTGAATGCTTCTGTTCCTCCTTAATTTTGAAGCTATCCTCCCTACTTTGGAGCCTGCAGAAATGTGTTGATGCCAGACACTGCTGTGGACTTTGCTCAAGTGCCAGCCAGTGTCCCAGCTATCCCCAAGTAGTTTTACTCCATTGTGGCATTTATTAAGGGGCAAACATGAGGAGTCAAGTCCTGAAAGAGAGGCGGGGATTTGTAGCAGCCTTCTTGTCCTGAGCATCATTTCTCTGCTTCGAATCCAGACAGGGACTATCCCCTGTGGGCTTGCAAAGCCCATCCTGAAGTCAGAGAAAGAGATTGTAGTGACAGGACAAGGGGTGATGGGTTCAAACTGAAGCAAGGGAAGTTCAGGTTGGAGATAAGGAAGAAGTTCTTTACTGTGAGGGTGCTGAGGCACTGGAATGGATTGCCCAGGGAAGTTGTGAATGCTCCATCCCTGGCAGTGTTCAAGGCCAGGTTGGACAGAGCCTTGGGTGCCATGGTTTAGTGTGAGGTGTCCCTGCCCATGGCAGGGGGTTGGAACTGGATGATCTTAAGGTCCTTTCTAACCCAAACCATTCTGTGATTCTATGCATGGATAAAATGACTGATGATATTCCCTCTCCTGCTGTGTCGTGGTCTGGATGCAATGCACTTTGCTGGCTTCAGGGGCATTGTGCCTTGAGGGCATCCACACCAGGAAAACAGTTGGCCATTTGCAACTCAGCATGCCCCCAGCTGCTCCCCTCCCTTTGTAGCAGGGCATAGCTGAGGAAAGAAGTGATTTTCATGCTATTTCTGATCTAAATCCTGTTTTCCACCTGTCCTTGTGTCCCTCTTTCTCTGTCTCTCCATCTCTGTGTTGTTGTTTTGCATGTCGCCCTCCATGCAGGTGGAAAAGCCTAGCGTAAAGCCTTCCAAACCAAAAAAGACCACAACAAGCCATAAACCCCTGAAAAAGGCCAAAGACAAGCAGATTGCATCTGGCCGGGCTGCCAAGAAAAAGAGCGCCGAGACCTCCAACACAGCAAAGCCAGAGGACAAGGAGAAAAGCAAAGAGATGAACAATAAACTGGCTGAGGCAAAAGAGTAAATGTCACTGCACTTTCCTTTCTCTCTCATTTTAGTTTCCTTTCTTTCTCCCCCCCCTTTTTTTTTCCTTTCTTTGATTAAATAAAGGCCACAAAATTAATTAGAGGCTTCTAATCTGCTTTTTGTTCTGATTGTATTAGAAGCTGTTCTGTTTTATTTCCAAGGAGGATTAGGGAATCCTTGTTTCTGAGGTCAGGTTGTTCTGCTTTGCCTGCACAACACGGCTCTGCACAGAGTGAGGGACGTGGGAATGCACAAGTGGGGTGATAGGAGATGAAGGTGATGGATCAGCTGTGATTGTGTCCAACCTTGGCTTGGTCCTTCAATGCTTTGATGGTGTGGAAGTGCCCGTTGAGCCATGGAGAGGCTGTGCTCTCATCCCATGAGGTCCTTTTGGGGTTGGCCTTTATTCGGTCATCTCCCACTGGTGTCATGAGGTGGAAGATTTTGGAGGCAGAGAGAGGAGCAGAGGTTCATTCATGGTGCTGTGGGTCCACTAGAATCAGTGGTGTGGCCAAGGGCCACTTCCCCTGGTGATGCTGGTGGAACTTCTGCTCCAAGAAGCAACAGGAAAGGAGATCCAGTGCAGATAAAGGACCAATCCCGCCCCCTCCAGAGTAGCTGGGGGTAGGTCTAGCTGCATCAAGGCAGCTTCACCCATCAACACCTCTTGAAGTCCTTGATTTAAACAAAAAGGGAGTTGAGGAAAAGCACAGAGAGCAGTGAAGACTTCCCAAGCATGTGGCAGGTCAAGCTAGGTTACCAGCAGGCTGTTCTTCCCTATTGCTTCCCCTAGGTTATGGATCTTTTTGAGTTATTCCTGGTTTGGTTTGAATCTTGATCTGCTTTCTTCACTTCTGGGGTGCCAGTAGACAGAGCTAGGTTTCAGAAAGAGGTTTAGTTTGCAGAGGTGACCTTCCAAAGGGTAGGAAGAAGTGAGTCAAGAAGGTTGGCTAAGAGCTGTCAGCGCCTGTTGTGTTGACTCTACCGTCTGTTGGAGTTCATGTTGGCTTATGCGCATCTGAAGAGGGCCATAAACCCATTGCTGGGATCCCTAGACTCCAGGCAAGATCTCAGGGTTTCAATCCTATTTACTGTGCGCTTCCTCTAGGAAATCCCCACACCCAGCAAGACCAGTTTGGAAGCTCTCAACACAGTGGGACCATTTGTCAGTGAGTATGAATTGGGCCAACAGGCTGACATTGCATCCCCCAGAGAGTGGGTTGTTGAGTCAATGGGCGCTGGAAGAGGTATGGTCCCAAACCAAACTTATGTGCCTAACTTCTGGATTGGGACCTAGATACCTACCTGTCAGTCTTGGTCCCACCAAACTGAGGTGTTGAAGTCTCCTTTAGTGGAGTAGCTGCAAGTGAAGATGAAAGGTTCTTCTTTTCTGCAGCTCAATAATTCCATCCTAACGTACAGTCCAGCTTGAAGCTTTCAGAGAACAGGCAATTGGGAATAAGGAAGAGAGAGATGGGAATTAGGGTAGGAAGATGGTGGTGAAGGAGTAAAGTATCAGAACTGTGTCATTGTAGAGGAGTTTGGATGAGGGAAGTCTTTCTGCTAAGGTATTGTAGAGATGTGAAACTAACAGAAGAAGTGATGGGCCATGAGGGTGAGGAGTCCCATTTTTGGTGCCTCACCCCATTAGAATTGGTTCTTTTGGAAGCATAAAGGAGTAGTGGGCTACAAGGCTGTGAGGAAGTTTCCAAAGAGGAGGAAAGCTCTGTGGTACACAGATAGTGACATTTGCTGGCCTTAGTAATGAATAAATGCCAAGTTCAGTGTGTCGTGTGATGTGTCCTGTTTGCCTTGCGCTAACGGCCTAAACCTTTGAGTATAAAGTAAGTGTAGTGTTCTGAATTCCGTGGTGTACTTCCAAGCTTAGCTGTGTTAGAACTGTGTGCTATGAGCTAGTCAGGTTGTGTATGTGGAAAAGTATATATTCATATCTAGAAATATATATATTTAAAACCTCCGATGTTTAGGAGGAAACCAGGGAAATCCTCCAGGAAGTAAAACTGTGGAACTCTTTGCCAATGTAGTGCATTTTCTCTTGGATGTGCATGCTCCATGGAGACGCTGACCTGTCCATATTGACCATTGCTTTTCTGAGTGCTCAGAAGCCCCTGCAGCAAAGCTCAGCTCTGCCTCCAGAGCAGCTCAATGAAAGGCTTGTGGTTGAGCTGGGTGCACTTCCCACCCCATCGCACAAGGGACAAGTGGCCAGAGAAGCCTGAGCTTCCGAGACTTGGTGTGATTCCTTGGCATTTAGATGCTTCATGCGTCTTCACACTCCTCGGTAACATCCTTTCATGTCACAGGATATAGAAACAGCGTGAAGATGACGTGTCACAGCAGGCAGAACATGTCAGGAAGGCATGTAGACAGATACCAATAGCCCAACACACCAATCTCGCTGCACATAAGGAAAGACCATGCCAAATAATTTTCCCTATTGGGTTTTTTTGGCCCTAAGTTTCACATGGAAAGAGACACCACACCTGCCACCACTTCACCTTAAACTCAATGGGAGTTTAGCCCTTGACTTTAAGGGTGACCAAATTTTGCCCAAGGAACATCATTCAGTGTTCAAGGCCAGGTTGCATGGGGCTTGGAACAACCTCATCTAGTGGAAGGTGTGCCTGCCCATGGCGGGGGGTTGGAACTGGACGAGCTTTAAGATCCCTTCCAACCCAAACCATTCTATGATAATGATTCTCTGATTAGGATGCTCAGACAGACCACATAATCCAAGCATCTCCATGCTACTGGATCAACTGCTTCTCATCCAGGGCTTCAGGATTGCTGCTTCTCTATGAAGAGCATCCATCACTGCCTTGGAATGAAACATGCACAGTGGGTGCTCAGAATATGGCCTTATGTGTCCTTAATACATGAAGGTTTTGGGGGCATCTCACTGCAAAGCTAGGTATGAAGTGGTCTAAATTCCATCTCTAGTGAAGGAACTTCCAAGGGCCATTGAGCTGCCTGTTTTGGACACCTCTTTTTGAGTGGGATGAATGATCCTTGGAAGCTTTCAATCATTGCAGAAAGAGCCTGGGAGACTGGTAGGGCCCTCTCAGACAACAACAACTTAGGGATATAAATCCTGGCCTTTGCTCCCTGTGTACCAAGTGCTCAGCACACATCCAAGCACAGTTTAGCGTTGCATCGAATACCAGGAACTGCAGCAGAGCCAAGCCTCAGGGTGAAATCCTGCATTGCTCTTACCTTCCACAGACTTTATACCCATCCACTCAGGTTTATCAGAAAGGAGACCAAATCCCTGCTGTTTCAAGTTCACTTTGGACTCTGAGCTTGTCGATCCCATTGGGAAAGAGTGCTCTGCTGTTCTGTGTTCAGCTACCACGATGCCGATTCTGTTTCACTGCTGATCTGTAATACGTTTTGCTTTCCTTGTAAAAAGAACAGAAGAAATGGTTTGCTTTTTACGCTGTGACCGTTCCTATGCTGTCTACTGCTTGCTTTTGCATTTTCACTGTATTTCACTGTTTCTCCTTTCTGCAAAATGGTGCTATTTGCTGACTGATGCTCCTGTTCCCTGACCGCTTCGCACACCGATCACCTGCTTCTTCATTCGCAACGCAGCCACTGTGTACGGCTCCCATCAATTCCACAACCTCTTGCCTCTTGGAGGCAGATCAGAAGTGTCTAATTAATCTTTTGTGGCCTGGGTTTGGTTGCATATCACCAACGTGTCTCTTGTAACGTGTTTAAGCACACACGCCTCCCCCGTGGTGCTCTTTTCTTTCCATTCCTGCTGTTCTGATGAGAGTGACACACAGACACACTCACACACACACGGATTAATGTATAGCCAATGGATTGTGATGTGCTTGTGATCTTTGCTTGCTCAAAGGGTCTTTTTTTTTTCCAATGATAAATAAATGCTAAAGACGAATAACCACCTCCTTGAGCTTGTTTTCTCCATAAGAAGCACCCTTCCAACCATGATCAGGTTTGTGATGCTTAAAGCCACCATTTCCCTGCCTGCCGTAGGGACAACTGAGCTATCAAACCTCACTCCCTTTAAATGGCTCCCTTTAGCCTGAGAGCCAAGTGTTTGCAAAGGTGAAGATGGACATGAAGCCATGTAGATGGAGCAGAGAGTTTGCTTTTGTATCCTCTGTCTACAAGTGTCATGAACAGAGGGTGAGTGCTGTGCATGCAGGATGCTGCTGCACCTCACGGTGGACATGAGGACCTTGTGTCCGTGTTGCGCTAGGTCAGGGAGCAGAAGATAAGCCCCATGTTGGAACTGGATGACCTTGAGGTCCTTTCCAACCCTAACTATTCTATGATGCTATGAAGAGCTGGAGGGAGGGGATGTAGATGAGGTTACTTAATCACTTAATCACTCTTTCCCAACTTGCTTTGGTCCCAAACCACCTGAAAGGCCCAATAAGAGGGATCAAGGGACTATAAATCTTTGAAAGGAGTTGGTAAGCTTTTGGGTTGAGCACTCCCGGGGTGCTTGACAGTGACTGTGGAAGTCCAAAGCACTGATTTTGTATTACTGAAGGTGTAGTCTAGTGAATGTATTAATGAAGGTGAAGGCTAATGAATGTATTAATGAAGATGGAGGCTATGTGGAGAAATTATAGTGGAGAAGACAGCAGGGCTGAGGGTGTAATTTCCTTTTAAATGGTGAGCCCTGATCTTAGCTCAACCTCTGTTTTAATTACCTGTAATGCTTATTTTCAATCATGTTTTTTCTCTTCTAATGGGTATTCCAATAACATCCCTACCAGCCCTGGGGAGAGCTGACTGCATTGGGCTTGTATTTTGAAGCCTCTCCTCCAATTGTTGATTCCATGGAGCACCAGCCCTTTTCTGCCTCACCATTTCTCATCCCTGCCTGGTTTCCAAATCACTGCCTGGATTTATTCCACCTCTGACGACATGGTGATGACAAGTGCTGCTTCCTCATGTCCTGCTGTATGCCCCTACCTTCCCTCTCCTTCTCCTACCAGCTCCCATCCATTCAATGATCACACATCACTGTATGGTGTTTAAGGCGTTTCAGCTGGGCTATAGGTACAGGGATTTATCATTTCACCCCTCCACAACTTGATATTGGAGATAATGTTCATTTTTAGTAGATGGGTCCCTGATGGGGCTCATCTGTGACTATCCAGGTTGGCCAACAATGTTTCTTCCCATGACACAAAGGTCTTTTCAGCATGGATGGGTGATCCAGCTGCCCACACTCAGAGCTGGAGAACATGCCTTTGCTTCCCTGTTGCTCTCTGAGGCTGCTCAGCATCACAAAGCCTAAACAGCCAAAGGAGAAGGATGGGACCTGGTGATAGGCAAAGGGACCTGGATCCTCTGGGCTTTAACCATCACTGTCTGAACCTACTGCTCCTAACTCCTTTATAAGTCCTTAGTAACTTGCACTGCCCACCTAATTCCAAGGGCTGTTGTGAGAATCATGACCATGCAAAGCACTGGAGGTGGGTTACTAAACATAAAATGCTTTGTCTCGTAAGAGCATTTAGTGTGGAGGTGCTGGCTCCTGATAGTCAGTATTGGTGTCTGGGTGAGGGGACAAGGAGAGGAGAGAAAATACGGGTGTGTTGAATGTAAAAGGTCAAGTCTGCATCTCAAACTCTTGATAACGGAGCATCTCGGTGCGACTTTGAGGTGTTGCTTTGGCTGCACAGTGTGAGCAGCCCATGAGGAGATCCTGATTTTAATCAGTTGGTTTTGAATACATCTTGCTCTGAGGGCTGCAGCAACACACCCGGGAGCCTTGTGCATGGGTGGATGAAGAGATTCTTGCCTATGGAGAAGAGAAGGCTCAGGGGGGACCTGATGGCTGCCTACAAGTGCCTGACAGGAGGATGGAGCCAGGAGGGGCTGGGCTCTGCTCCCAAGGAACAAGGGATGGGACAAGAGGAACCGGCCTCAAGCTGCACCAGGGCAGGTTTAGATGGAGCTGAGGAACAATTCCTGCCCCAGAGGGTGCTCAGGCATTGGAACAGGCTGCCCAGGGCAGGGCTGCAGGCACCGGCCCTGCAAGGGTTCACACCCCATGGAGACGAGGCCTCAGTGCCATGGGGCAGTGGTGGCCTTGGCAGTGCTGGGAATGGTTGGGCTGGATGAGCTTAAAGGGCTTTTCCAACCTGGTTGATTCCATGATTCTATTCAATGATTCTATGATGTTCTCCGTGTTAGTCCTGTGGCCAAGCCACTTAAGCTTCCATCTGATGCAGGGAATGAGATTTACCAGTTTTGCTACTTCCAAACCTCTGAGCTTCCTTTGGAAGCCTCAGTTATCATTATTGCATCCCTGACTGGTAAAGCCAGGTGATGGCTCCATCAGCTGACATGTGCAGCTTCTTATACCACAATATCCTTTGGATTTAGGGTTTATTTAGGGATGTGCCAGTGCAGGAGAAAAAGGGACCTTTTAAGATGTCTCTGTCATAGCTAGTACCTGCCAGCATCCAAGGAATAACCACCTTCCCTAACAGCAACAGCAAATGCAGAAGAGGAGCTTATAGGAAGAAGAAATACGTCGTATGAACATGATGACATGGGCATGTTCAGCACTAAGAACAGTGTCTTTTGCACAGCTGGAAATAACTGTGATGTTCCAACATGGAACATCATGGGATTCAGCTCCCTCTGCTTCCAGCAGTGTCATGGTAAGTTTGATCCAGTTGGAGATCCACTTCCATTTACCCTTATTCACATGAGCTTCAGGGTTGGGAGCAATTCCATTAATGCCACTGGGTCTGTGATGCAAGGTAACAGCTCTGAGTACTTCAGGATGGTGATTTGTGATGAACTATGGGTTTGCTTGTAAACAGTGTTCATTTCTATTGCAGGGTGCCTTGCAGTTCCCTACCCACGATTGTGGAGGTCCCTAACCATGGTCCCTAACCATGTGGAGGAGATGGGAGCCCAAGAGTTAAAGAAAAGCCTGCTAATGGATTGAAGGCATCTTAATGCTTTCTAAACCACCAGCTTTCCCTGCAGGGAATCTGCTCCACGGACACCAACAGCAAGGACCAGCCACCAGAAAATTACAGATGAGGAGCAGTGACAGCTCTTAGCACAGAGGAATGATAACCCTTAACATTGGCAGTTCATCAGCATGAGAGATGGAAAGGGGGGAATGTTTCTGAACCCCCCTTGTTGTCATCTGCCCACCTCCCACCCCAACCTAGCCTGAGACATGCACCAACCTCAAGCTCCCAAGCAAAGCTGGGTCTTCCCAAGTCTTCCTGGGGATCCATAGACCTGCATTCCCTGTCTGGCTCCGAGAGAGGTCTGGAGAGCTGGGTCACAGCACAGGGTGAGGAGCACCCTGCATGGTACATGGTGGAGGGGATCTCACCGCACCATGGCTGTGGTAGATGGGTCTGTCCTCATCAGTTAACAGCACCCAGGAGCACTTGGTGGTGCCAGTACTCAATGGTCAAGGTAGAGAAATCCTTAGAGTATCCTTTGGCATTGACCTGACCTGCTCCTTGGCCTGGTTCAGGAGTTAGTACCCAAGTGAGGACCAGTGCAGCTGTGGCCACCTTTGAAGCCAAGACTTTTAACATCAGGGATATGAACCACCAATGAAATAGTGCTTTGGAGTCTCAGGGCAGTGGATGTCCTTGTCCCCATTGCCCTGTTCCCTCCACTCCCTATTGCTGACCAGGCTTCTCTGTCCCAATTGGCTCCTTCCCATGCTGTCCTCAGTGCCCCATCAGACCCCATCCACCCACCATGGTGCTATACCTTCTATTGCCTTCTGAATCATTCTCCATCTTCCCTGCCAGCTTTCCCGTGTCCATCCCAACTTCTCCAACCTTTTCCTTTCTCCCACCTGTCCCCCTCCACATCATCCTAAATCCACAGCTCTACCAGGGACCTTCTCCTCCCCATCCTCCCCAAGTCTCTGTCTTGTGTCCTGTCTCTCTTGGACTATAAACCTCGTTCTTTGCCTGTACTGTGTGATAACAATCACTGCTTTGAATAAATAATACCTCACCTCTCAGCTGCCCCTTATCTCTGTCCTTTCTTAGTGTGGCTTCAAGTAGACGTGTCTGCAAATGTGCTATGTGTCTGTCCTGGTGGCCACTTGAGCAGTCGGTCTTGTTGCCACAGCTCTGTCCATGGACTTTTTTGGGATGACTCTGCACATGTTCTTGTTTCCTGGTACTGTTCTTTATTACAGCCACAGATTCAAGCTTTGTTGTCTATGTAGGAGCCTTCCATGACCTTCTGTCCTCTGCCGTTCTGGTGCATCTGATACAGAGGTTGGCCTTTCTCCAGCTTCATGCAGAGATGTCCTTGGCTGGCTCATTAAATGCAGCAATTGAGGAGAATAAAGGACATTACCTTGTAGCCCAGAGCAGAAGCAGCTGATGATGAAGGCCCTGCATTTCCCAATGCAATACAGAAAGCAGTGGGCAGAAGTGTGTCAGTGGAAATCCCAGCAGATGCATCCCTCTGGGGAAGAACCATAGCATCATAGGATAATAGAATGGTTTGAATGGAAAGGACCTTAAGATCATCCGGCTCCAACCCCTGCCACGGGCAGGGACCCCTTCCACTGGAGCAGCTTTCTCCAAGCCCCTGTGTCCAACCTGGCCTCGAACAATGCCAGGGATGGCACATATATATATTCCATATATTCATATATATATATTCCTATTATAAAAATACACTTCTTCCTTTTATCTAACCTGAACTTCCCCCATTTAAACCATTACCCCTTGTCCCATCACTCCGTTGCTAAGGCACCCTGTGATGGCCAAAATCCGATGCTGTACAGACGTTGGCCAAAACACAGGTACCCATCCAAAGGACCTTGAAGGCAAAGCAGGAACTTCAAATTGCCTCAAGCTCCAGAGCCTTGGGTGCCATGGCCTAGTGCAAGGTGTCCCTGCCCATGGCAGGGGGTTGGAACTGGATGATCTTAAGGTCCTTTCCAACCCAAACCATTCTATGTACCCATTGTGGTGAGTTCTCTTTGGCAAGAGGAAGGTTGGGAAGAACCTTAAAGGGATCAAATACAGAGGAATATTTACTGTCAGTTTATGCAAGCCAAGGGAAAATTAGAGTAAATCCAATCACTGAACCATTGCAAAGCACCTCCGAAGAGATGTGAATAGTAACTAATAGAGTATTCAGTACAAAGGCAAGTAGATTACATGGCTCTGAGTAATTACACCGAGTGCGTGTCTCACTCAGTAGCTGAAGGGTCCTTATTACACGTAATTAAGTCATTAACTTTGATTTTATGTATAATTACAATGATTGCACCATTATTAGAGAGGAGCCCGGCCTAAAGCTCAGTGCCAGATGTTGGTGGCCTGCAGGAGGTTTTGGTCCAGATCCATGGAGCTGCTGGTGTTCTATCAGAGAGTGTCTATCGCTCTCTGATGTCTCAGGGCCCATCACTTGTGTCTTAATCAGAAGCACCCATAGGAAAAAGCCACCACAGATGCAGTCAGCCAAGGATCTTGTCTATATGCCATTATTTGTAATAACCCAGATATCCATGATGGAAAACTTGAGGAAAAAGGCTTGTTCTCCCATCGGTAGCTGATCTTCAGGGAGGGGCAGAAAGGCCAACCCTAACACGCACCAAAATACAGCCATTTCTGCCTCTTCAGCTCCCTGAAGCAGCTCAGCACAAGGTGAGAGCAGGAACAAGCAGCCACCAGCTTGCCTTTCACCAGTGGGAACTGAGAGGGAGCGTGCCTGAAGCAGGAAGGTGAAATTTCACAGAGATGGGTTTTGAAGCCACCAAATATTGACCTGAATTGAGACAGAAGAATTTCAGAGAACATTTGTGCAGCTCATAAATAACCACATATTTTCCACCAAACTAGGAATGATATTTCAGACCAAGAAAAAAGAGATTCCTATTTAATTTCATATTGAACTGCAGTGTTCTGATTTCATTCAGCATCTCCCACTTCTCACCTCAACGCTTTCATTTTCATGGAATCATAGGATCCCACACTGGTTTGGGTTGGAAGGGACCCTAAAGCTCCTCCAGCTCCAACCCCTGCCACGGGCAGGGACCCCTTCCACTAGAGCAGCTTGCTCCAAGCCCCTGTGTCCAACCTGGCCTTGAACACTGCCAGGGATGGGGCAGCCACAGCTTCTCTGGGCACCCTGTGCCAGCGCCTCAGCACCCTCCCAGGGAAGAGCTTCTGCCTAAGAGCTCAGCTCAGTCTCCCCTCGGGCAGGTTAAAGCCATTCCCCTTGGCCTGGCCCTATGGGCCCTTGTCCAAAGCCCCTCTCCAGGTTTCTTGCACCTCCCACTCTCAAAGTGAATCAAGTTACTGTTGAATTGCCCACCCATTGTACTGTATATAATTTCCTACCATGCTTCTCTGTTTAGTTTGCAAAGCATTTGTGGCTGGGAGTTTCCCTCATTCTGTTCTGCTCATCTTGAGCTTATCCTGAGGTATTAGTGTAGTAGAAGTGATTAACAGGAATTATCCTCCCACCAGCAAGCTTTAATCAGTGCAGCTGAATTCTGCATGACTGCCTCTACCTGCAGCGTGCTTGGTACATCCTTATGGCCTTGGGTGTGCTCTGTATCAGCAGTGGTTCAGAGCTGTAAGTATGAGGGAGAGAAGGGAATCCCCCTAAGCAAACAAAGATAAAGTTAAAATAGGAGAACACAAGAGACCAGGAAGTAGAGCAAAGAAAAAAAAGGAATATTTCCAGATCAGGAATTAAATGCAATGGAGGGATTTGGAGGCAGGAGGCACAGGTTCCTGCTTACCTCATTCCAAGAGCTGGGTAATAAAACTGGTCCAGGAAGCATCTATCCCCTGGAGAAGAAGAGCAGCAGTGCTAGAAAAGGCTAGGGTGTTCAGTGTTTCAGACTGGATTTCACCCTTTGTAGGTCCTGGTCTTTGAGAAGCAGAGCTGATTTTCAAGGAAAAGCATTGCCCAGGGCTGAAATCATGTGTAGAGTTCATGGGAGATGTTTGCCCACCAGTGGGATTATGGTGGGCATGGATTAATGCTGCAAAACTCCCTATCTGATGGGTTATCTCCATTTAATAAAGCAGTGACTGAAGGAGCTTGGTGGAGGGGGAGAACTTCAGGACTGATCCATCAAGGACCAGGGCAGAACAGGATCTGAGACCAACAGCATCCATAGTGTGAAGGGGCCAAAACTGCTGCATCTGTTGGATTCACCCTTCTGATTTAGGGGCTACTTATCATAGAATCCCAGACTGGCTTGTGTTGGAAGGGACCTTAAAGCTCATCCAGTCCCAACCTTGGGAAGGGACACCTTCCACCAGACCAGATTGCTCCAAGCCCCATCCAACCTGGCCTTGAACACTTCCAAGGATGGGGAAACCACAGCTTCTCAGAAGTGTGTAAATACCCCAACTGCTTTGATTCCTTACTCATTTGCACCAGCAAAGGCCTTTCCAAATGGCATCCAACAGCTCTTTGTGATGCTGTGAATAACATGTTGGGTTTGGCTGCTTCCCTCGCCAGTGATCCCTAGATGACTTATGCTCCCTTGTTCCTTCAGGGCTCTTCCTGACCTGAATTATTTAACCTCTATTCACTCCCCCTTCCCTCCGTTGTCTTTGCTCCTTTGTTTCCTTTACCTTGATGTGTTTCTCTCCCACTCTGTCACTTCAGTAACTCCATTTCTCTTTCTATCATCTCATGCATCTTTCAGTTTACCCCCCTGTGCTCTGGCAAGGGGCAGGGTTCCCATTTGGTGGCAATCAGCTTCTGTGACATATCTAGGTTACTGTCAGGACTCCTCTGTGTAAAATGGCTTTCATTTTTTATGAGTCTGCTTTAATAATTTACCCCCCATCAATGATGGATAATAAAATCACCAGCCTGAAATGGCTTTTCCATGTCGAGGTAATAGAAGAGAGATGGGCTCGAAAGTCCTATCCCCAAATGGTGTTCTGGTACAAGATCAGACATAAGTTTCAGTGGAAGGAGAAAGCTCCTAACTGGGAAGATGCTATTGTTTGGAATGTGGATGGCTTAACACAGCGAAAGACCTGGGGGTATCAAACCAAGGATCCGAAAGATGCAGTTTGTCCCTTCCTGACATTCAGCAAAACCCAACTGCTAGATCCCAATGATCCCAACCAATGGAATAACGTAGCTTTGGATCCATGCTTGGCAGCTGGAGCCCATCCCTCAGAAGGGTCTTAGAACCATGGAATCCCAGACTGGTTTGGGTTGGAAGGGAGCTTAAAGGTCACCCATTCCCAACCCCTGCCACGGGCAGGGACCCCTTCCATAGAGCAGCTTGCTCCAAGCCCCTGTGTCCAACCTGGCCTTGAACACTGCCAGGGATGGGGCAGCCACAGCTTCTCTGGGCACCCTGTGCCAGCGCCTCAGCACCCTCACAGGGAAGAGCTTCTGCCTAAGAGCTCAGCTCAGTCTCCCCTCGGGCAGGTTAAAGCCATTCCCCTTGGCCTGTCCCTACAGGCCCTGATGAAGAATCCCTCTCTTATTCAAAGCACCAAACCCCTGAATAGTGAAACATCTCATCTCCCGCACCCAGAGTTCACAATTACAAACAATCCAATTAAAGCTGATGTTGGATTATTTTCTGTGGTTTCACACTTTATTCTCCAGCCACCTCTTTAAGCTTTCCTCTGTAATCACACTTTGAAACCCATGCAAGCAGAGATATTTACCCCTAGGAGAAAACCACAAAGGAGTATTTTTGTGTAGAGGTAAACATGAAAGGAATGATTCTTTTTTTTGCCTGTTTCCTCATCATTTGCCATGTGAATATATAAATCTTCACAGAGTAAATAAAGCAGCTCAGGAGAACATAATTGATTTTCCTCTGTGTAGCTCATTTCTGATGAGCTATTCCTTGCTTGTATTTCCTCAGCAAGAATGATGAATGTGTATTTACGGAACGACACAACCACAACTCCCAGGCTGCAAACATTGGGCTGGTTTTGTGTTAAGGATAAGTGCATTGCACAGGGCAGTGATGATAGCAGTGATTGCCCCGTAGGAATTAGC